AGGCTTAGTTTCATTAGCACACAAACAATAGTACCAAAGGCAAAAAGGCTCAGATATACCCTCAGATAGCAGGTAAGGAAGAAATCCCCTTGCAGTCTGGGTATGTGCTCTGTTTACAAAGTAAAAAAAGGCACTAAATAAATCCAAGATCCAGCTGGAGTATGATCTACCAATGACTTTTTCCATAACTAATCATTAGAAATCACAACACACATTCCACAGAGGCCAATATTAAATTGAGTTACTATCATGTTAGTATGGTCATCTGGACCAGTCAATAAAATTCTGGCTACTTAAAATCCAGAGGGGTAAGTTCTGTTCTTAGTTATACTGATGTTCTCAATGGAAATTATCAAGAATAGTAGCCAAGAAGTGTTTAATGCACAGTATACAGTTAAAGAAATCTTCACATTAATTCAAATTTTCCATATCAGAGCTATGCAGTGAAAAAGACAACGTCTCCATACAGTGCATACACAACTTTTTATCATGGCGGAGATTAAGAATACAATGTTTTGCAAAGATGATGTTTTATAAGCTTGTAAAAAAGAACCACTTATTCAAACCATACCCAAAACAAGACAACTGTATAACAGTCCTCCTAGCCGGCCTCCAAAATCACCAGCAGCAATGACCTCTAAAAAATGAGTTTTTCTGTATTCGGTCAACTCAATTCTCAGATGGCAAGCAGAGAAGCAACAATATACAGACAGTCAAGACACCCGAACAGTATTTGAGTTCCAAGATTGATATTTCTCACACAACTTACTGCTCAAGGATCCTGTGATGCCATATATATCCTACAGACAGTATGTAATTGTTACCAGTTTCACCTATGCTCAATAATTTGTAAAAAACATGTCATGATAGCGCTGAGTAGAGGGCACTAAAAGCACCTTAAATAGATAAGTCTTAAACACAATCAGCTTGGGAAAAAGTGATGCAGAAACAAAAACTAATAGTTTCTAAACCTCACCATTATCTCAGTAAACTAACTGCCAAACTAAAGCACGAAGATGGAATATAGGAAATAATTTATACCAATTTGCTAGGTTTTTCTAGGGTCACTTCAAAATTTTGCGAAGATTAAGAGTTTGCTATGACAAATACAAACTAAAACATTAGCAATCAGAAGCAAAGAAGTGTCTGATGAACAATCATATAATACAAACAATATTAACCACATTATCCTGTCTGTGGAATCTGGGAAAAAAATACACTCCAAAATTGCAGAAATGTTAAATGTAAAATACTTCTTGCAGATTTTCAATCCAAGAGAAACCAACATATTACAGTATTTGTTGGAGCCTGGTTGTAATTAAATACAGGAAGGATATTAAAACTTCCAAGAGATTTTTTTTAAGCCACAACAGAAGAAAAGGCACAATTGCATAATTGGAACCAAATCCAAAACCCACTTCCTTCTTATTTACTAGCATCATCTAAAGGACACTATTTAGATGCTGAAAGGTCTGGAGCTGACAACTGTAAATCATCTTAAAGTAAAAAATTTCAAAGGAGTTGTATGACACGGGTTAAAAGTTTATAGATGAGAGATATAGAAAGTTAGTGCTCACTGCAAAACCACATCCTAGCAGTCACTGTATCTCTCTTATCGACAAAACCCTATAATTCTATTTTGTTGTGGGGAAAGAAATCCTCTTTGGTAGTAATAAGCTACTATAAAGCTATAAGGCAAAAATGTTTGATATACAGAATTTGAAAAAAAGATGTCTTTTTAAGATATTCTAAAAATAACATTTCTTTAGAGAACAGGATTTCATTTATCATTTAGGTCTATACAGACCAGTTAAATACTAAACAAACTTGCCAGTTTGTGGGATATTTCTTTAAAAAGTTTCAGATCATTTTCGCTGGCAGTTAAATTCAGTTCAATGTTCTTTGTCATTAGCATATCTATGCAGGAAATAAATATCAAAAGCATCTTCCAGCCATCCCACAAAAAAAAAAAAAATAAAAATCCTCTTGCATTCCTCTAAGGCATGCAGAAAAGTGATAGTGCAGACAAAGATGGACATGTACATGCTAGATTTTTTTGCTATAAAATAAACCAAGCAGTTTTCAGGGATTTCTAATTATTTAAGTGCTTTAACTCGTGGGATTATTTTTCCTTTCTGACATAGTCAAAGTCAGCAACACTGCCCAGTGAAGACATATGTATAGGCCAGCTTCACAATTCTCAGTTTAGATGAAGGGATAGACAAAAGGTGCAAGCATGCTGTCATATTAGCTCAGTGCATGAAATTCTGACAGAACAGGTCCCTGCTGTCGTAACACTATTAATATGAGGATGGTTCACTAGCGCTTTTGTTTTACACACAGAAAAAAAAAAAGATTCCTTTTTTCTCATTAAAAATTACTACACTCCAGTGAAACTCACACTGAAGGAAAAGTTATCGTGATGCATCTGTTTGACCCCTAGATCCCATCATTAATCAACTGCAACAAGAACCTAACGAACTAAAAGCCTACGACTATGTTCCTTATTGTTTTGGCAGCATCCGTGAGAGACTTCAAAAGGCCATTCTTTTTAAGCATTCATCACATGATGAAGAGCTAGCTTTAGATATCTCAGTTTGGTATGTAAAACCATAATCCCTTTGAAAGCATGGATCTTTCAAGAACCTGATCGTATCACAGTAATTGTCTATATTTCCTTTAAAAAAAACATCACCACCAGAAGTACTGCAAGAGCAATTTTTTTTTGCATTAATTTTTAGATTTGTGCTACTTTTTCTTAGTGCACTCACCCTAAAGACTTATAAGTAACCACCAGTTTTGCAAAAAGAAAGAAAACGAACCAGGAAAGCTAGATGTACTTAGAGACACTCAGTTGTCAGTTACATTCTTCATTCATTTTAACAAGTTTTTTAATGGGATTGATCACATGGGTTTATTCTTTGCATCCCAGCACCTTATCCATAAGTATTTTTTCCAATTTAATAAATGTTCTCATTACAGTCTTTGGCCAACACCCTAAAGTTAATCTGGACTGAAGTAATAGGGTTATCTAAAACAAAAGAGCTGTTTTCTGAATAACAACTTAGACACATACTCTATTCCAAAATACCAACTTATTTCAGTTTAATTTACCCAAAATAAAAACAGTTATTTTGCAATAAGAGTGCACGTGTATGGAATTACTTCTTAATAACTTTTAGATAACAAGCATGGAATGAATTTATGTTTTAAAAAAAGCACTACATTGTCCCTTCACCATTTAGTACTTCTTAAGCATGTAGAAGTCAAACACTACACATCATGCTTTGTTCACTAACATCTATCCGAATCTTCATTCCCTTTCTCGTGTATGCCAGTGAGTAGCCTAAAGGATGATGTGGAACTTCAGATGGAAATTTTGCAATGTGAGAACGTTTTGTGCATAGCCAAAGCTGTCCTAACCAAGGAAAAAGATTCTAAAGACAAATGAGTTGACAAAGTAAAGGTGAAATAAAAAGAGGGGTTACAGCAACACCTAACTTTAACTCTTCTTACTTTCAACCTTTGATAAAATATCAAATAATAATCAAGAAGCTCCATTAAAAAAAAAAGCAAAAACCAGTGGAACAAGGAATCAAAAATAACAGAATGTCTCTGGAAATTACTAGAAATTACTGGAAGTCCTTTTAATAAAATGAGAAATGAAAAAGTTCAAGCAGAAGCTGCCATAGTATAAAACACTAAGATACATTAAACAAAAAAATACTTCTGTATATATATGCATAATATTTAATAAGAGTTTAGCATACACTTAAAATATTTTTCTAAACTGCTTATGACATTTTTCAAATAGACACCACACTTACAAATATACATAAGTATGATGAAGAGTTCAGTCCTTACAAGCATTTCTCAAACAAATGAAAAATTCTGTGTTGATTTAAGCACGGGCTTTCCCTCCTTTCCAGATCTGATTTCACTAGGTATTAAAACAAGAGCAACCTCAATCATTAGTCTCAATCATTATTATCATATAATGATGTAGGTGAGAAGGAACCTTTGGAGGTCATCTGGTCCAACCTCCTGCTCACACCAGGGCCAACTTGTTGCACAATGGACACTGGATCATCTCTCAACTGTACTGACAGGTATAATGTGAAGAAACATACAATTGAATAAAGACAAAAATAACAGAGCACTGTAGTAGCTTTGATTAGTACTCCATATAGTTTTGATGTATTTTTAAATGTACACAAAAACTCCTTTGCACCACATACCCTGTTGCTACCAGCAGGTATCTACATCAGCAAGACAAGGTATCATCTTGTATACGTACAGATACAATCACGTAAAGCTCATACCAACATCACTTTCTCTTTGTGAAGCATAAATCATTGCACCAATGGTGCTTAAATGTTCAAGAGCAATTCAAAGTTCTCGTTATTCAGGGTATACGATACACCTTTCACGATCAGAACATCTTTGTCCTTACAATTTTGATGAGATTTCTCTTTAATGTGTCTAGAGAAAATGCTGCATCTTCAGCCTTACTTTAGTTTTTAATTCCCAGAGTCAAAAGGCAGAATTCCTGGATTAGATTACTTTGATACTTGGGTGATACTTGATTGCTCTGGACAATTTTGTGCAAGTCATTCAATCACTCTGGTAGTAATATTACCTAGTGCCAAGGCCTCCTTTCCAGCAGTTGTTTCACCCTTTACGCTTGTGTCTCAAATTATCTACAACTGTTACTTAAAATCTCAGGGATATTATAAACTTTGATTAACCTGTATTTTCAAAGAACATGGAGGTCCTTTGTAAAAAGTGAAAACCAAACGTAATGCAGGAGTAACTATAACCGTGTCATATAAAACGGTCATTGCCGGAGTGGCAGAATAAGGTAACTCTCACCACTAACACTACTACTGTCAATATTATTGTTGTTACTATTTGTACTAATTTGCATTAATTTATGTCAAAATAGTATTCTTACGTTCAAACATCTACACAATTTACAGAAATTTTTTTAAAACTCCTACCTGAGATGACAAGAGATTACAGTCAATGTGCAGTCCTTTGCCCGTTTTATACCTCTGAAGTAAACCAGCCATAATTGCTCCATATGTATACAACCCAGTAGCAAGATCTGTCATGGCTACTCCTGGTCTAACTGGCTCACCATCCTAAAGAAAAAAAGAAAAAACACCACAATATAAAAGAGAAACAAAACAACACCAAAAAGAGAAAAAAAAAAAGAAAATAAAAAGAACAAGATATTACTTTTTGTTATAGTACATTCTACACAACTCATCTGAAAGTGTTTATTTATATCTGCATTGCAAACTACCAGAAATAAGAGTATCTTCGAGACACCCGAACAGTATTTGAGTTCCAAGATTGATATTTCTCACACAACTTACTGCTCAAGGATCCTGTGATGCCATATATATCCTACAGACAGTATGTAATTGTTACCAGTTTCACCTGGTAAGCATAAACACTACCACAGAAAAACAGATATTCTTGCAGTATCTACACTATTCTGTAACTTCACGATGCTGCAGATTACAAATTGTGAATGATTTATTTTGCTACTTTTTTCTCTAGTAACATAATGCTTCAACTCCCCGATGCAAAAAGCAAAGAGACTGTTAGAGACAAGAGAATCCAGTAAAAACTTAATTTCACTATGCCCAGAAGCCAAAGGTCTAAAGGATTTACACAGTACACTGACACAGGTGCATGCCTGTTTAAAAGGCAGAACCATATTGCTTTGCTCTTCTCACTCTTTTTCTCCCTCCTCTCCTGGTCCTCCCCCAGCCAAATCTCAGTTTTCTATTTCCCACTCCAGGATTCTAATGAGAAAACAAAAACAACTTTGTTTTGTTTATACATCTGTGCACATTACACCTGCAAATACATTCAAATTTTGACCTTCTGACCAAAAATCACAGTAAAGTTGTTGGTTTGAATATTGGTTTTCAGTATGTCATCCTTTTTTCTGGTATCAAGGGAAGATTCTTCATTTTACATCATGTGTTTCAGAACTTCCCTAATCATTGGCACAAAATATGACCCCTCTGCAATCAACAGCAAAATAAACTTCTAATTTCAGTCAATGTAGTAGGCTTTTTTCACAGAAGCTTAAAAGTGCTGCTTCTGAGACATTCTCCCATTTTCTAATCTGAAATATTTGGTGTCGGATGCTCAGATTTTGATGGCCATTGCTTGCCTTAAGTACAGTCCACAACTAGCAGCACAAAGCTAACGGGACTGTTTCAGAGTTTCAGCACCTAAGTAAGCCTATCAGAAGCCAAGTTAAAATCAGTGTAATTGATAAATAATAACTGTTTGTCAAAGGTCCCATAAATGCCTTTAAACTAATATAGAATATATTCAATAAAGTTGAATTTACAGACTTACTTTTAGTCTTTTCTAAACTGTTAAGTGTAATCATACTTTAAGATTATAAGAGAGTTATGTTTACTGATAATTAATAAAAGAAGTGTCTTGGCTTCACATAAAAAATTTAAATCTTCACTGTGTTTTTTTTTCTTTTGCACTCCAACAGGTTTTATGTAAGTCTGATACCAAGCCATATAAGTTATAAATTATTTTTAAATTATTTTAAGAAAAATAATATCATGTTGCATTATCAATTGCATTAATAGGTCCATTCTGGGATAAAAGACTGTAGTAAAATATTTTGTATATAAGGTGGAAAAGGCTGCTATTTTATTCATATCGCAAAAATGACTAACAAAATTATAAAGTCTGTATCAAATATGACAATATTAAAAAAAGAAATCTTAGTTACTATCATTCAAACTGCAGCAAGGATTAGTCTATGACTAACTATATCCTATATATTAAGGATGATGTATGAACTACACATCCTTAAGGGGAGCACTGCTTTAGGAAGTACCTCTTTTTTGCAGAATCTCTTCTTTCCTCCTTCTCCCTGCTCTACACTGAGGTACTTCAGCTGCCCAATGGAAAGGACAACAAACACTCCCTCTATTTCCCACTTCCGTTGAACTCAACTCTGGGGGAAAATAGGAAGGGAAGTTCTGTATTTTTTATACACATTGGCCTGCTGAGAACACTCACTAGCACAGGATAATGTTTTTGCTCCTCAGACCAATCATTAAGAAACACAAATGAAAAAAAAAACCAACATTTCCTCCATATTATCTGTTGCAAGGTCTCAGCTTGCTAAATTCTTCTTTCTTCATTACAGCCACGACGCTGGGATGAGAAAAAATCAAAAAAGACTTAAGATTTTGCAAACAGATGTACAGCAATATTCTTAGTTTGCAAACACTTCCCACTGTTTTCAAAGTGTCATTAATTTCACCCTTGATGGAGAAAACTACATTTTTAAGATATAAAAATCAGGATTATATATTAATAGATTGTTACATATGAACTCGT